TAAAAGCTGGTACTCTAGTAAATATATGGAAAAATGCTGACCGTATATAGGGCAAGGCCAATGAACACAGTGAACTAAGATATTCCTCGTTCTGTGGTAAAGATGTCACAGATCCCAATGGATCAAGGGTTATGCCCAACTATCTTATCTATAATAGAAATCAAAAGCTATAAAAAAAAATATACTATCACAACCACCTATAACGGTATATTGATCTCTTCATTAAAGTGACTAACCATAATGCTTACCAAACTGTAAAGATGTCACAGATCCAATGGACTAAAGGCTATGCCTAGATATTTTATCTGTAATAGAAGTCAAATAGAGCTATGAAAGTACTTTCACAACCACCTATAGCGGTATATAGATCTCTTCATTGAAACAACTGACTGTAATTCTCACCAAACTGTCCAAGTATAGCATGGGGGAACCACCTTCAAGCAAAAAAGTCAACAACAGACTGCAATAGTACATCCAATATATAAAGGTCTAGGTATGGTATAATTGTCTTGTGAGGAAGTGATCAGATCCACCTGTGCCATCAGCAAAGACATGAGCTGATTGATCATGCCCTGGAGGGGGGCACAATTCACAAGAAATTGTGGGTTAAATTAGGGTAAAGTTTCCCAGAACCCTCACCTTCTACAGTTTGCCTAAAATACAAAAAAATCCTATATGATGTCCAATTGTTTTGGGGAATGGAGGTTTGAAAATCTGAGTCATGTAATAGACTCTTATTTACAACCTCATGTGTCATCACTACCTTCATTTTCTACAAATTATTGAGGATTTTAGCATCTCCAAAGAAGCATTTGTGGTCACTATTGACATTGAAGCTTTATATAGCTCAATTCTCCATGATCATGGTGTATCAGCTATACAACGTATTCTTTCTCAATGCCCCATTCAGGATTGACCCATGAATGAATTTGTATTGGCGGGGTTAGATTTTATCCTTCGTCACAATTATTTTTCATTTGATGGTTCCCGCTACCTCCAGGTACAGGGCGTGGCTATGGGGACCTGCTGTGCCTCATCCTACGCCAATTTGTACCTGGGGAAGTGGGAACATTGGTTCTTCTCAGACGAGAGCCTTGCGCTGTACACATGCCACATGTCCATGTGGCATGGGTACATTGATGATGTTTTTCTCGTCTGGGAGGGGCCTGAAAAAATGGAATGTTTTGAAAAAATGAACATCAATAATTACACTCTTAAATTTACTATGTCTTATAGTAGGAAAATGGTAACTTTTTTGGATGTCCTTGTACCAAAGATGGCAGTGGCAGCCTCTCTATAGAAAGGATACTGCAGGAAACACCATCATGCATGCATCCAGTTTTCATCTGCAAACGTTAAGATTCCATACCTTATAATCAGTATTTGAGGCTGAGATGTAACTGTTCCAAAGAACAAGGCTTTCAAGAGGCAGCAGGGAGTCTAAGACAACGACTGCTTGATAGAGGATATAGTAAGATCTGTTTCGTAGAGCATATACAGTCATGGCCGAAATTGTTGGCACCCTTGATATTTCTCCAGGAAATCATGTATTTCTCACGAAACGTATTGCATTAACACATGTTTTGCTATACACATGTTTATTCCCTTTGTGTGTATTGGGACAAAACAAAAAAAGGGAGGAAAGAAAGCAAATTCGACATAATGTCACACAAACCTCCAAAAATGGGCTGGACAAAAGTATTGGCACCCTTTCACAACTGCGGATAAATAAGAATGTTACAAGCATGTGATGCTCCTGTAAACTCACCTGGGCAAGTAACAGGTGTGGGCAATATAGAAATCACACCTGAAAGCAGATAAAAAGGAGAGACGTTCACTTAACCTTTGCATTGTGTGTCTGTCTGTGCCACACTAAGCATGGACAACAGAAAGAGGAGACGAGAACTGTCTGAGGACCTGAGAACCAAAATTGTGGCAAAATATCAACAATCTCAAGGTTACAAGTCCATCTCCAGAGAACTAGATTTGCCTTTGTCCACAGTGCGCAACATTATCAAGAAGTTTGCAACCCATGGCACTGTAGCTAATCTCCCTGGTCGTGGACGGATGAGGAAAATTGATGAAAGATTGCAACGCAGAATAGTCCGGATGGTGGATAAGCAGCCCCAAACATGTTCCAAAGACATTCAAGCTGTCCTGCAGGCTCAGGGAGCATCAGTGTCAGCGCGAACTATCCGTCGACATTTAAATGAAATGAAACGCTATGGCAGGAGACCCAGGAGGACCCCACTGCTGACACAGAGACATAAAAAAGCAAGACTACAGTTTGCCAAAATGTACTTGAGTAAGCCAAAAGCCTTCTGGGAAAACGTCTTGTGGACAGATGAGACCAAGATAGAGCTTTTCGGTAAAGCACATCATTCTACTGTTTACCGAAAACGGAATGAGGCCTACAAAGAACAAAACACAGTACCTACGGTAAAATATGGTGGAGGTTCAATGATGTTTTGGGGTTGTTTTGCTGCCTCTGGCACTGGGTGCCTTGACTGTGTGCAAGGCATCATGAAATCTGAGGATTACCAAAGGATTTTGGGTCGCACTGTAGGGCCCAGTGTCAGAAAGCTGGGTTTGCGTCCAAGATCCTGGGTCTTCCAGCAGGACAATGACCCCAAACATACGTCAAAAAGCACTCAGAAATGGATGGCAAAGAAGCGCTGGAGAGTTCTGAAGTGGCCAGCAATGAGCCCAGATCTAAATCCCATTGAACACCTGTGGAGAGATCTTAAAATTGCTGTTGGGAAAAGGTGTCCTTCCAATAAGAGAGACCTGGAGCTGTTTGCAAAGGAAGAGTGGTCCAAAATTCCGGGTGAGAGGTGTCAGAAGCTTATTGATGGTTATAGGAAGCGACTGATTTCAGTTATGTTTTCCAAAGGGTGTGCAACCAAATATTAAGTTAAGGGTGCCAATACTTTTGTCCAGCCCATTTTTGGGGTTTTGTGTGACATTATGTCATATTTGCTTTTCTGCCTCTGTTTTATATTTGTTCCAATACATACAAAGGGAATAAACATGTGTATAGCAAAACATGTGTTAATGCAATACCTTTTTTGTGTGAAATACTTGATTTTCAGGAAAAAATATCAAGTGTGCCAACAATTTCGGCCATGACTGTAAGTGTACTTGTTGATAGTCATGTCACAGCCTCCTTTTCCAAAAGAAGAAAAAAGCATATACAGTGAAGGGACCTACCCATATAGTGTTAAGATATTCTAACCAATATTTACAGATAAAACGAATTTTGCAATGTCATTGGTTGAATCTAACAGATGATGATCTGGTGAAACAATTTGTAGATATTACACCTCATTAACCTTGAGAAGGGCTAGTTCACTATGGGACAAATTAGTCCATAGTGAATACAAGGAGAAATAAAGAGATAAGCATTGCCAGGATTATGGGACCTATCCCTGTGGTAACTGCTCATATTGTTATTTGGTGGATAAGAAAAAAGTAGTTTTTATTACCCAATGGGACTCGTTACACACTCAGACACTTTGCCAATTGTCAGACTAGTGGGGTGATATATTTTATGCCATGTGAATGCGGCACCTTCTACATTGGTAAGACCAAACAGGAATTTTGGCACCGGATCTACAAACATGTTTATACTGTGCAAATAGGGAATTGCTACCTCCCTATTGGCAGACATGCGGCCCTAATGCATAATTATAGAGTCCCCAAGTAAAATGTATTGCCATGGATCGGATATATATCCCCGATCGTGGGAGAAATTGTAACAAAAATCTCCTCCAACAAGCCACAGTCTCTCCAGGTGTAAATGAAGCCATATCCTTCCACTCCTTTTTTGAGGGGTTTACTTCTGGTAAAACTGATTACATTTTTCATTTAAATAAATAGGATTAGACCTCAGTCTGTATGGGGCTTTTGGCTTCGCTCATGCTCCTCATAAATAATAGGATTTTGATCATAACTTAGAATATTTAAGCCTTAGTAAGGCGTTAATTCAGGGGATGTGCACTATTGTTATTTTGTTACATTTGCATATTTTTGGTATTGTAATTTTGTAATATGTATATTATTTAAAATTTTCACACTGGCATGTTTTGTCTTTTAGATGGATTCCAGGATGACACTGGGTCCTGATTTGGTGGGTGAACCTTGGTTTGGACATCCAGCATGGGGTATGAATGGCCTCATGGGCTTTTTTTCTACCCTTGTGGACTGTTCTATGCCCTTGGCGGTGCGGATGAAGCCTTTGCTTTGCCTAGGCACTGCTAGAGGGCAATCTCCCATGCCGGCGGCATCCTATGACTGCCCCGAACATTGTGTGGTACTGCACATGCACCCAGCGTTAGTTGCGTACTAGCGCTGGGCGCCGGTGTGACATACGTCAGGACGTCCCTTTACGACGGGAACACTGGCAGATTCCGGGGGAGATCTTCTCCCTCACGGATGCTGGGTGGCCACATAAAGATGCCATTGTAGCGCCAACAGCCGCCTAATCTCTTGCTGACGGCACAGGTGGATCTTATCACTGCCTGACAAGACAATTATACCATACCTAGACCTTTATATATTGGATGTACTATTGCAGTCTGTTGTTGACTTTTTTGCTTGAAGGTGGTTCCCCCATGCTATACTTGGACAGTTTGGTGAGAATTACAGTCAGTTGTTTCAATGAAGAGATCTATATACCGCTATAGGTGGTTGTGAAAGTACTTTCATAGCTCTATTTGACTTCTATTACAGATAAAATATCTAGGCATAGCCTTTAGTCCATTGGATCTGTGACATCTTTACAGTTTGGTAAGCATTATGGTTAGTCACTTTAATGAAGAGATCAATATACCGTTATAGGTGGTTGTGATAGTATATTTTTATAGCTTTTGATTTCTATTATAGATAGGATAGTTGGGCATAACCCTTGATCCATTGGGATCTGTGACATCTTTACCACAGAACGAGGAATATCTTAGTTCACTGTGTTCATTGGCCTTGCCCTATATACGGTCAGCATTTTTCCATATATTTACTAGAGTACCAGCTTTTAGACCTTCTGAAAAAGTTTTGTACCTAATGTCAGGAATGGACTCGCCAATGGTGGTGGGACTCGCCTGTCTTGTGGGCTGCAGTACCAGGGCTAACCAGCGGGTGCTCTCAGCAACCAGAAGCTCACTCCTGCAATCAGCCATCACCTGAGGCTGATTGCAGAAGGTGTATTTAAGGAATGGCCAGACCTGCAGTCAGTGCCTTGTTGTACTGTTTTGCTTGGCCCCGGTATCCTGATCCTACTTGCTTCTACCCTGATTCTGCACGAACTCTGCCTGTACTGACCTCGGCTAGTCCTGACCACTCTCCTGCCTGCTCCTGGTACCTTGTTTGCCGTTTGTTACTGACCCGGCCTGCCTGACTACGTTTAGTGTTGTATTTATGGTTGTTTGTTGAAGGTTTGGTTTGTTGCACTGTTATGTTTTGCACTGCGTTTATGTATTGTTAGGCTTTAATAAATTGTATTGTTATACTATACCTGAAGCCTGCGTTTTTCTGTGTCAGTCCACACACTTCTGGTCATACCCAGATTCCTGACATTACAACAAGACCATTCCTGACCAGAAGTGGCTGCACAGGGAAGCCATCTTGGCTTGTTGCTGGGAAGGATGAATCCTGATGAGGTTGCGTATTTGTCTCTGCTAGTCTTTGATGACAGAGATTATGCCTATCAGACTCTGAAGGAGTATGCCAGGGATCAACTGCTAGAATGCATACGGATTGCTCATTTCCTAGTGGATCAGGGCACAGAGTTCTCTGAGGTGCAGCCATTGATTCAGGTTTGTGCAGAGTTGGCTTCGTCTGGTGCCCCTGAGGAAAGGGATGACTTTTTGCCGCCATTTAGTGCAGACAGGTATGGTTATTAGAGGATGATGTGAATTGCTTCTTGGAGCATTATTCTGCATGTTCACAACAGGTGCTAATGGATTGTATAAACGCAGTGCAGTCTTTGACCAGACAGGCTTTGTGTAAGCTGAGCTTTGTTCAACCCGTACTGCAGACATGGTCAGATTTGTCATACCCAGCCTCAGTCAGCTTGCGACAAACCAGTCCTGCTTCTCATCATTCCTCTGCTCAAAGCTCTCTTCCTGCATTCCCGACAGCACCCCCAGTGACAGCCCAGCATACCCTGCTATCTACCATATGTCAGTACCCTGTTCCCACTCGCTGCACCTATCCTGCCTTTAACCCTGTAAAGAAGTCCTCTGTAGCAACTGCTCCCTCCTTTGTTCCTTCCCCTAGCTCTTCTCTGCCTACAGCTGCTCTATCCGTTTACAAACCTGCTCCTACTTACAGTGCTCCAGTAACTAAAACCAGGAAAAGGCGAAAATTCTTTCCAGTACCAGTACCATCCTGCCAGTATCCAAACCGGTCAGCCTGCCATCTGTGAACCCGTCTTCCGTTGTTCAGCCTGATGCCCTGATGCCTGATGATCCAGTGTACGTTACCCAGCCTGATGACCCGATTCGGCCTGATGACCCGGTGTTCGTGATCCATCCTGATGATCCTATCCAGCTTGATGACCTGGTGCCCGCTACCCAGCCTGATGGCCCGATCCAGCCTGATGGCCCGATCCAGCCTGATGACCCGATCCAGTCTGATGACCCGATCCAGCCTGATGACCCGTGTGTTCGTGATCCAGCCTGATGGCCCAATCCAGCCTGATGACCCGATCCAGCCTGATGACCCGATCCAGCCTGATGACCCGGTGTTCGTGGTCCAGCCTGATGACCCGATCCAGCCTGGTGCCTCGGTGCCTGTGGTCGGGCCTGGTGCCTCGGTGCCTGTGGTCGGGCCTGGTGCTTCGGTGCATGTGGTCCGGCCTGGTGCCTCAGTGCATGTGGTCCGGCCTGGTGACTCGGTGCCCGTGGTCCGGCCTGGTGACTCGGTGCCCGTGGTCCGGCCTGGTGATTCAGTGCCCGCTGTTCTGCCAGATGACTCGGTGCCCGCTGTCGTGCCAGATGACCCGGTGCCCGCTGTCGTGCCAGTTGACCCGGTGCCCGCTGTCATGCCAGTTGACCCTGTGCCCGCTGTCATGCCAGTTGACTCGGTGCCCGCTGTCGAGCTTGGTGACTCGGTGCCCGCTGCTCCGCCAGATGACTCGGTGCCCGCTGTCGTGTTAGATGACTCGGAGCCCACTGTCGTGCCAGATAACTCTGTGTCTGCTGTCGTGCCAGTTGACCGGTTGCCCGCTGTCGTGCCAGTTGACCGGGTGCCCGCTGTCATGCCAGTTGACCCGGTGCCCGCTGTCGTGCCAGATGACTCGGTGCCCGCTGTTCTGCCAGATGACTCGGTGCCCGCTGTCGTGCCAGTTGACCCGGTGCCCGCTGCCGTGCCAGTTGACCCGGTGCCCGCTGTTGTGCCAGTTGACCCCGTGCCCGCTGTCATGCCAGTTGACTTGGTGCCCGCTGTCGAGCTTGGTGACTCGGTGCCCACTGTTCTGCCAGATGACTCGGTGCCCACTGTCATGCCAGATGACTCGTAGGCTGCTGTCGTGCCAGATGACTCGGAGGCCGCTGTCATGCCAGATGACTCGGTGCCCACTGTCGAGCTTGGTGACTCGGTGCCGACTGTCGAGCTTGGTGACTCGGTGCCCGCTGTTCTGCCAGATGACTCGGTGCCCGCTGTCATGCCAGATGACTCGGAGGCCGCTGTCATGCCAGATGACTCGGTGCCCGCTGTCGTGCCAGATGACTCGGTGCCCACTGTCGAGCTTGGTGACTCGGTGCCCGCTGTCTTCCAGATGACTCGGTGCCCGCTGTTCTGCCAGATGACTCGGTGCCCGCTGTCCTGCCAGATGACTCGGTGCCCGCTGTCGTGCCAGATGATTCGGAGCCCGCTGTCATGCCAGTTTACTCGGTGCCCGCTGTCGAGTTTGGTGACTCGTGCCCGCTGTTCTGCCAGATGACTCGGTGTCCGCTGTCGTGCCGTGCCAGATGACTCGGTGCCCACTGTCGTGCCAGTTGACCTGGTGCCCGCTGTCGTGCCAGTTGACCCGGTGCTCGCTGTTGAGCCAGTTGACCTGGTGCCCGCTGTCATGCCAGTTGACTCGGTGCCCGCTGTCGAGCTTGGTGACTCGTGCCCGCTGTTCTGCCAGATGACTCGGTGTCTGCTGTCATGCCAGATGACTCGGTGCCCGCTGTCGTGCCAGTTGACCCGGTGCCCGCTGTTGTGCCAGTTGACCTGGTGCCCGCTGTCGTGCCAGTTTACTCGGTGCCCGCTGTCGAGCTTGGTGACTCGGTGCCCGCTGTTGTGCCAGATGACTCAGAGCCCGCTGTCGTGCCAGATGACTTGGAGCCCGCTGTCGTGCCAGTTGACCCGGTGCCCGCTGTCATGCCAGTTGACCCGGTGCTCGCTGTCGAGCCAGTTGACCTGGTGCCCGCTGCCGTGCCAGTTGACTCGGTGCCCGCTGTCGAGCTTGGTGACTCGGTGCCCGCTGTTCTGCCAGATGACTCGGTGCCCGCTGTTCTGCCAGATGGCCTGGTGCCTGCTGCCTCGCCTGATGGCCCGGTGCCTGCTGCCTTGCCTGATGGCCCGGTGCCTGCTGCCTCGCCTGATGGCCCGGAGCCTGCTGCCCCGCCTGATGGCCCGGTGCCTGCTGCTCCGCCTGATGGCCTGATGCCTGCTGCCTCACCTGATGTGCCTCTGTCTGATGCCCAGCCTGATGTGCCTCCGTCCGCTGCCCAGCCTGATGTGCCTCCGTCCGCTGCCCAGCCTGATGTGCCTCCGCCCGCTGCCCAGCCTGATGTGCCTCCGCCCGCTGCCCAGCCTGATGTGCCTCCGCCCGCTGCCCAGCCTGTGCCAGCCCCTGATATTCAGCCAGTTACCTGACCCGGGCGGTGGAACATTTTGCCCACTAAGGACTGTTTGGAGCGTCCTGAGGCTGCTCCTTGAGGGGAGGGGGGTACTGTCAGGAATGAACTCGCCAATGGGGGTGGGACTCACCTGCCTTGTGGGCTGCAGTACCAGGGCTAGCCAGCGGGTGCTCTCAGCAGCCAGAAGCTCACTCCTGCAATCAGCCATCACCTGAGGCTGATTGCAGGAGGTGTATTTAAGGAATGGCCAGACCTGCGGTCAGTGCCTTGTTGTACTGTTTTGCTTGGCCCCGGTAGGTGATCCTGCTTGCTTCTACCCTGATTCTGCACGAACTCTGCCTGTACTGACCTTGGCTAGTCCTGACCACTCTCTCGCCTGCTCCTGGTACCTTGTTTGCCCGTTTGTTACCGACCCGACTTGCCTGACTACGTTTAGTGTTGTATTTATGGTTGTATGTTGAAGGTTTGGTTTGTTGCACTGTGTTATGTTTTGCACTGTGTTTATGTATTGTTAGGCTTTAATAAATTGTATTGTTATACTATACCTGAAGCCTGCGTTTCCCTGTGTCCGTCCACACACTTCTGGTCATACCCAGCTTCCTGACACCTAACTTGCACCACATTTTTTACAATGATTACAGAGGGATAAGGAAGGTGACTTGGTGCTCCTCCTTTGCCTTCAGTATTATGAGATGCATATTTGACCACCCTTGCCCTTCCGATGGCTTACACCATTGAATTTCAGACTATACAGTGTCATCTTGGATGTCAGTATTTTATGATCGCTCTGATTAATATTGATTGCCTAATTCCCTTGTAAGTATCAAAATGGCAATTGTTATCAAAATGGTGATTGTTATCAATAATTCTTTATATGTAAACTACTACTAATCTCAAATATGTTTATCTAGAAATTCTTTTTGTATTTATGCAACCCTGAAGAAGATCAAAAAGTGGAATGATCGAAACGCGCTGGGGTAATTTTTGGGAATGTTGTTTTGCTGCAAATGTGAGTGAAAATATCCTTGCAATAGTTATCAGAGCTAGTGTTTTTAAAGATAATGTACTTCTTACTAATACTTTTGTGTAATAAAGTATATGACCAAAAGAGTTCCTTTTGAGTATATGTGTGATGATGTTTGCTGCATTAAAGTCCCAATGGGGGGTTATTTTTGTCCATATGAAAATGGCTAATACCTCTTTGTTGGCCGCAATACGTACAGCTCATAAGATATTAAAGCACGATATGTGATAATTTTCATTCTTGATCTTCCTTACACTCCGAAAATGGTTCAAGTATATGTAAACCCAATCACTAAGATCTCATGTCTAATATCAAAAGTTAAAGGTTTTTATTAAAAAGATACCTGGTGAAGCTGCCATGAATGCCTTTGTTGAGGTACTTGCTGTTATAGGGCGAGCGAGAAGGCATTGTTCTCACAAATTTTTGGGCACAATTTCCACAATCCACTTAATCTTATAATTGTATGTAAATTCAATCACTTTTTTGTCTGTAAAATATACCATTGAACAATCATTTGATAAATCTGTTCTATAAGTGCAAAAAAATCCAGTTGATCTTGTCAGATTCACAAATGTCCCATGTCCAATGCACAACTTTTGTATTATCTCAAGGAGCCCTTCTAGTTGTTTTCTTGGAACAATAGAATGATTACTTTCAATGTTGTGAAGAATAGCAAAGGAGGAAGGTGTGAGTAGTTTAGCAAAAGAAAATTTGGCAGGACTGACACCACTAAGTCTCTAAAAATGCTTTGTGCTGTCAGCCCACAACAGGTCTTCGGTGCAGAGTGTGTTTCTGGTAGATTAATGAGTAATCTGCAAATGAGGGGTCTTTAAAGGGATAAAATATGGGGAAATGCGGATGTATTACATGGATGTTCTGCATTTTTTGTTTTTGTATTTGCTCTGACATACCCTTTAAGCTTTTCTTTTCAGCAGCTGGTAAAAACAAAAATTCATGTTAATGTAGCTCTACTCCCGTAGGATCCGCAGGAATACTGTCCAGGTCTTCCCCACAAGCTTTCCCCTGCAACCAGGCACACAGGCTCACCCACATGTTTCTTCATTGTCCAGTCTAGGAGTGTTTTTTTTGTTATTATTTTTGGAGAACTTGGATAGGGATGAGGGAATTAGGTGGGATGCTCCAAAAACAGAAACTATGTATGGTCGAGGACCTTAGGTATTCCTCCGGATAAGCTATGATTAAGTCTGTGCTTGAAACAAACAGTAGACTTCAGCTTCAAGGCTGCAGTAGTAGTAGTAGCAACTAGAGCAGAGTCCTTTTAGGTAGTAGATTAACTAGTTGCCGACCACAGATAGCCGAATGACGGCTGCACTGCGGCCGGCCAGTTCTGGGTGGACATCATATGACGTCCTCCCAGAACGCGCTCTCCTGCGCGCCCCAGGGGGCGCGCACCCGGCGATCTCCATGATCGCTGTGTCCTACGGACACAGCTGATCACGTGATGTGGTAAAAGGCCAATCACAGCGGCCTTTTACCACGTGATCAGCGGTGTCCAATGACACGTTGATCACAGGGAAATGCAATTGCCGGTTCTCGGCTGCACGCTGTCAGATCGTGAGGAAAGTACTGCCGAGAACTGGCAGTTGTCAGAGCAAGGATCGGCACCGATCATCAGGGCACTGATGATCCGTGCCCTGATGATCGGTGCCCAGCAGTGCCACCCACAAGTTCCGCCCACCTGTGCCCAGCAGTGCGCCCACTAGCTCCGCCCACCTATGCCCAGCAGATCACCCACCTGTGCCCAGCAGTGCACCCACCTGTGCCCAGAAATGCACCCACCTGTGCCACCCACCTGTGCCCACCCACCTGTGCCCACCAGTGCCACCCACCTGTGCCCACCCATCAGTGCTGCCCACCAGTGCCACCCACCAGTGCAGCCCAGCAGTGCTGCCAGTCAGTGCCACCAGTCAGTGCCCAGCGGTTGTGCCAGTCAGTGCCCAGCAGTGATGCCAGTCAGTGACGTCTATCAGTACCCATCATCAGTGCCACCTATCAATGCCGCCTATCAGTGCCGCCTATCAGTGCTGCATATTAGTGCCGCCTATCCGTGCCACCTCATTAGTACTGCCTATCAGTGCCCTTTAGTGCTGCCTATCAGTGCCCATCAGTGCCGCCTATCAGTGCTGCCTCATCAACGCACATCAGTGAAGGAGAAAAATTACCTGTTTGAAAAATTTTATAATAGAAACAAAGAAACTTTTTTTTTTTTTTCAAATTTTTTGCAATTTTTGTTTATAGCGCAGAAAGTAAAGCGCCCAGTGGCGATTAAATACCACCAAAAGAAAGCTCTATTTGTGAGAAAAAATTTATCAAAATTTCATATGGGTACAATGTTGCATGACTGCGCAATTGTCAATCAAAGTGCGGCAGCGCTGAAAGCTGAAAATTGGCCTGGTAAATAAGGGGGTATAAGTGCCCGGTAGGCAAGTGGTTAAATTCACAGAGCTCTTCAAACACCAGCCAGTGTCCCCTTTAACTAGACCTACAGCTGACTGCCTAGCACCGGAGGAGTTAAAGTAGCATACAATCTCTAATATCCTTTCTGGGTGTTTGTACACACAAGAACAGCTGGATACCTTCCTCTGTGATACCAGACTAGATATTCCACAGATGGCCCCTCGGTCAGCTGTAGCATAACCCCAGTCTTAGCATTCAGGCCTACAGCAGTAGATGCAGCAGTATTTCCTGTGAGGGCAGCATACCCTCTCCTGGCTGGAACAATCCTAAACAGGAAAGACCCAGAGCCCAGTGTGCTCACTGAATATATACAGTTACCCAGCATGCCTTCTGAGCCTCTCTCTCTGGGATAGGCTATGGCTGTATCAATATTAATGCTGCCATCTGCATAGCTCCACACTTATCCAGAAGCTTCTCAAGCCCTCTGGATGCAGAGGTAGTTATCAGGCTGGCTGCAACTGAACATACTGAGCAGGCCTAACTAACAGAACACAGCAGCACTGATTGCAGTCTATGCTTTTACCTAACAACAACAACTAAATTTACCTATCAAAAAAAACAAACTAAATCTATCTATCTAAACCTAGCACCTATCTAGGAGGGTGCTGCAATGAGAAAACATAATCTATGAATCTCAACCCCTCTTCCTGTCAGAGTATGCCCCTTCTACGTTCTACCTCACTCTTATAGCCATTGTTCATATTAGACTTTTACAGTCAGCATTTTTCTGTGTGAAGGAATCATTTTAAAGAATAAGGAAAAATAGAACTTAGAGTTCATGTTTCATGCATTATTGAACATGAATACTGGATTAGGATGTTATTTTTCTCTTTTTCTCCCCAATATTTCTTTATAGACGTTTAAAAAAGGAGGGTTGGTAAAGTGGATCCAGAGAATATCCAATTGCCTCTTTGGGATCAGGAAGGAATTTTTTTTCCCCTGCAGGAGCAAATTGGATCATGCTTTGCTGGATTTTTTTTTTTGCCTTCCTCTGGATCAACTGTGGGTATAGGAGTAAAACTTTTTTTTTTTAATGGTTGAACTGGATGGACTTTTGTCTTTTTTCAGCCAGATTAACTATGTAACTATGTGGGTATAGGGTTGTGCAAGGTACAAACAGATGTTTCACATATAGCGAGAAATGAGAATAAAAATAACAGGATACTGTGACATAATGCATACATTTATCATATGACCCTGAACAATCATACACACAAGCAAAGATATCATTGTCCTCAGATATAAATGTCAGGAAATCATCTCACATATGGAAGTGGTGGGATGGGGGAGAGGGTAGAATATGAGATGAAGAAGTGAGAGAGATAGAAGGAGGAAAACATAGCAGCAGAAGAGAGAACATATATGGGGAGATTTAGTAAAATTGGAGAGTAGAAAATCTGGTGCAGCTGCACATGGTAGCCAATCTGTTTCTAGCTTCAGCTTGTTCAATTCAGCTTTGACAATAAAACCTGAAAGCTACCAAAAGAAATGTACAAAACAGTCCTCCTGCGCTACCAACCTAACTATAATGACCCCCAAGTGGCCGCAGACACCTAAACATATTCCAAAATAGTGGGAGCAATAGGAAAAGTGAATTGGTGTTGCTCTACTCAGTGCATGAAAAGTATATAACATAAATAATGAATAAAATCAGAAGATGAATGCACATACAGTGAAGGAAATAAGTATTTGATCCCCTACTGATTTTGAATGTTTGCCCACTCACAAAGAAATTATCAGTCTAAAAATCATATGGTAGGTGTATTGTAACACTGAGAGACAGAATAGCAACAAAAACAACAAGACACGCACGTCTAACAAATTATGCACTGATTTTCATGTTCATGAGGGAAATAAGTATTTGATCCCCTTCACAAAACATGACTTAGTACTTGGTGGCAAATCCATTGTTGG